AGGAGGGAGAGGGAGAGGAGGAGGGAGAGGAGGAGGGAGAGGGAGAGAATTGGAATCGGTATGGGGCATCTCTGGAGTGAGCTGTTTCTAGCTGTTCCTAGGACAATGGAAACTCTCAGGAATCTGAGGGTGCCCCCTAGCTAAGGCTACTAGCAATAGGGGATAAGGAACCTGAAAGGCCACCTTGTGTAGCCAGGCAAAACTTCCAATGGAGGGACTGGGACACCAACCCAGCCACAAAATCTTTGACCCACAATTTGTCCTGCTTACAGCAAGTGCAGGGTTAAAGATGGAGCAGAAACTGAGGGAAAGGATAACCAATGACTGGCCCAACTTGAGACCTATACCATGAGAGTGAGTTCACCCCGACAGTATTAATGATACTCTGCTATACTTGCATACATGAGCCTAGCATAACTGTCACCTGAGAGGCTTCACCCAGCAGTTGACAGAAACAGATGCACACTCCCACAGCCAAACATTAGGTGAAGCTTGGGAATCTTGTGGAAGAGTGGAAGGATTGAAGGAGTCAAAGAGGTCAAGGTCACCTGGGCCCATAGGGGCTCACAGAGACTGGGCCACTAACCAAGAAGCATGTAAAGAACAGACCTATGCCCCCTACGCATATATAACAGATGTGTGGCTTAGTCTTCATTTGAAACCCAGGGCAGTCTCTGATTCTGCTGCCTGTCTTTGGATCCTTTTCCCTTAACTGTACTGCCTTGTCTGGCCTCCCTAGTCCTACTGAAAAATTAAATGCCAAGGCAGGTTGATATCCATGGGAGCCTCCCCTTCTCTGAAGAGAAAGGAAGGAGAGGATGGGAAATAAGGGGAGATGATGGGACTGAAAGAGGATGAGGGAGGGGAAGCTGCATTTGGGATGTAAAATAAATAAGTTAATGGGAAAAAAAGAAAATGTCATACCTTTACAAATGAGTATTATTCAGGTGTTTAAAATGACATCATGAAATTGACAGGCAAATGGGTGGAACTAGAAAAAAATCATCCTGAGTGAGGTAATCAAGACCCAGAAAAACAAATATGGTTTGTATTTATTTATAAATGGATATTAGCCATAAGTAAATGATAACCAAGCTACTAACAGTAGACCAGTAAGGCTAGGTACAGAGGAAGAGTCTAGGGGAGAATCATGAATCTCCTTGGGAAGGGGAAGTTAGGGGCAGGCAAGGAATAGGAACAGGAGGATCTGGTGGGTACAGTGAGGGGAGATTGGGTAGAGGGTAGAATGGGTAGAATGGTAGAGATTGGGTAGAATACAGGAAAAGAGATAAAACTGAGGAGCATTTGAGGGATGACATGAAAACTAGTGTGGAAACTTTCTAAAATATATGAAGGTGGTCCCCAGTAATTGAGACAGAGAGTCTCAAGTCTCATCAACAAACAAGGCTTCCAGTATCAAGACGGGATTGCATTCAGTTGAGTTGTTAGCCAAGGTGCTCCATAAGTACCCTCAAACAATCCAGAGTGTTCCTAAGACAATGATGGTTCTTTCCGAAAACAGACAGTGGGACTCTGCTGCTGAGGACAACACCCCACAACTCCGTGAACATGGAGAAATCAAGCTGTGGCTATATGGAACCTTCATGTATGTTCTAGTGTTTATGGTGCAGGAAGGCACTCTACAGGTTACCAAAAGAGAAATGTAAACACCAACCTGGACACAAAACCTCTGACCTATAATTTGTCCTGCTTACAAAATATACTAGGGCAATGGTGGCATAGAACTTGTGGCAGTAGCCAACCAATGTCTGATTTGACTTAGGGCCCACTCACCGAGTCAGAGCCAATACCTGACATTGCTTGAGTGACCAAGAATCAGAGACTAGATAGCCCAGAGACCTAACATAAAAATAAATACTAGTAATCTTAAAAATAAAAAAAAGTAACAATAAAATGACTCCTAATGGTATTTTGTTATACTCAAAAATCAATGCCTTATCCAGTCATCAGAAAAGCTTCTTCCGGCAGCAGATGGGAACAAACGCAGAGACCCACAGCCAGACACTCGAGAGAGCTAAATGAGATGACTCCATCAAATTCCTCCCCTGAGAGCTCAAGGAACCCTGTGGAAAAGGAGCCAAAGAAAGTATAAAAGCCAGAGGGGATGAGGACGCCAAGACAGCAAGGCTCTCTGACTCAACTGAGCAAGGCACATCTGAGCTCCGAGACTGAAAGAGCAAACGGGCCTTTCATGGGTCTACACCGGGTCCTCTGAATATATGTCCTAGCTATCAGCTTAGTACTCTATGGTACTCCTGTCTGGGAGGACAAGTGGGTCTCTGACTACTGCCTGCTCTTGGAACTCTCTTCCTCCTGATTTAGGTTGCCATATCCAACTTCAATATGAAAATTTTTGTTTCATCTTATTATATTTTATTTTGTTATGCTTCGTTGTTATCTCTTAGAAACTTGTTCTTTTCTAATGAGACAGAAAGAGATCTGGACAAGAGGGAAGGTGGGGAGCTTGGAGAAGTAGAGGGAAGGGAAACTATAATCAAGATTATTATATGAGAAAAAATATAGTTTCAATTTAAAAGATCAATTGGGGAAATGGGGCAGAGGAGGGATCAAGTGTAAGTGGGGAGAAATGGAAATTGGTGGCAGGCAAGGAAGGCATCGCTAGTGCCAGAGACCTGGGACAGAGGAGGCTCCAGACACTCTACGGGGGTGACTCTAGTTGAGACTCCCAGCAGTGTGGGATACGGAGTCTGAAGTAGCCACCTCCTCCCGTAGCCAGGCAGGACTCCCAGCGGAGGGATAAGGACACCAATCCACTCACAAAAACCTTCAACCCAGAATGTGTCCTGCCTACAAAATGTACAGGGACAAAAACAGAGCAGAGACAGAGGGAAGGCCAGCCAGTGACTGCCCAAACTGAGACTGGCAAGAACCAAGCTCTCTGACACTACTAATGATACTGTTATGCTTACAGGGTCCTGGCATAGCTGTCCTCTGAGAGACTCCACTCAGCAGCCACTGGAAATAGATGTAGAGACCCACTGCCAAACATTAGATGGAGCTTATGAAAGAGTTAGGATAAAGATTGAGGGACCTGAAAAGGATAGGGACACCACAGGAAGACCAACTGAGTCAATTAACCTGGACCCTTGGGGGCTCTCAAGAGACAGAACCACCAACCGAAGAGTGAGCATGGGTTGGACCTACCCCCCTCTACCCCATATGTAGCAGATGTACAGCTTAGTCTTCATGAAGGTCCCTTAGTCTGCTGCCTGCCTATGGATCCCATTCCCCTAACTGGGCCACTCAGTCCTGCAGTGACTTGATGTCCTAGGGTGGGGTGATACCTGGCAGGAAGCCTCACCAGAAGTGAGGTAACCTTCTCAGAGAAGGGGAGGGGAGAGTGTTGGGAGGAGCTATGTGAGGGGGGACTAGGAGGAGGATGGGCTGATATTGGGATATAAAGTAAATAAAAAAATGAAAAAATTCAATTTGGTTCAAGGTGTTTTTTTAAATGTGAAAATCAATTTTCTTTAAATTTTTTCTCTCAAAAATCATGCTGTTCCTTTAGCATTTTTCCTTTCCTTACATTGCTGAAGCATGGTGGTGTGTTTCATGTATGGTGTCTGATTCATGTCTAAGAATGAGAGACACAACAGAGTGGGTAGGAAAAAGTCAGTTTTATAGAATTCTCTTCAGATCCTCAATACATCTTTCTTTAAATTCCATAACAAACAAACAAAATAAAACCTGCTTGTAAGCATTTGACTAGGAACTTGGAAGAATAATATGAGCTACTGGGGTCTAAACTTTTGAGTCACAATAAAATAAAAATGACTTGTCAAGTGAACCTAACACAAAAGTACTTCAGGAAAAATACTTCACTAAAGTCTCTAAACTTTTCCAGAGAAAGCACTTCCCCCCTCCCTTCCATTTCTTTGTTCTGTATTTAATAGATAAAGCACAAGAATCTAAGCTAGACCCCTACGTAAGGCTTTTAAAAGACTTAAGAGTCAGACGATCTGCTCCAATGATTCTCTCAACTACTCTACTTATCTTTAGTAATACGAGCGTAAAGCCTGCTCTGGAGTATGAAATATTTATCCCATGGCAAGCACCTACCTAGTACAAAGATAAACATAGTTCTGAGGAACTTTTAAGTTCTCTGATCATGACAGAAAACATATTTACAGATTTATGAGTCTAGCACATTTTCTCAATAGGGGCAAGATCACCCCAACAGTGGCAAAAACTGGTTCCTGGGAAATAGTAACCTGAACCCTCAAAAAGGTTACAGTATTGACATATGGAGTGTATTTGTGGTACTGAAATTCCACAGGAAAGACTAATTGTACAGCAAAGAGTAAGGGGCTAGGAGTCCTTA